CAAGGCAGGCCAACACACTACCCAAAAACTGTCCTTATCAGCTCTTGTTTCCCCATGCTCACATCCTTCCACTCGTTGTCCACCATGTCCATGTCTGGCTTCTCCCCTGGCTCCTCAGTCTTCACCTTCGGGCCTTCTTCATCATCTGGCTCCTCCTTCACATCATCTGGCCTGTTCACATCCTCGGATTCCTCTGTCTTTCGCTGGAACTTTGAAGCAGGATCAGCACTGGCACCTGGACCCTTCTTTCGCTTCAGGCTCACAAGCCCGTTCTGGTACCTCTCCTTGTCGGCCTCAACCTTCGCTTGCAAAAGCCGCACACGTTCAACCAGTTTTGCCTGGGTCAAGCCCTTGCTCTCCAGAAAGGCAGTGCATGTGCTACAGCCAACGTCCCAAGTGCCGTTGGCCTGACATCAACAGGTGATTGAAGGGAAGAAAATATAATGGGGAGTCCATTGAAGATCTTGAGAAAATTCAAATTTGCTCCAAATTTGATCAACTTGCAGGGTCTAATCCAAAATCCCTCTGGGTTCTATAGCACCGGAAAAAAAGGAGATCAGGAGAATTTGTTGAAGACCCTGTGGAATGGGTCCCTTCTCTGAAAATATGATTCAAATAAAAACGTCTCATTCCAACTTCCAGGGTCTAATCCAAAATCCCTTTGGGGTTCTTTAGCACCAAATCAAAATGAGGCCATGAGAATCTGTTGAAGACCCTGTGGAATGGGTCCCTGCCCTGAAAATATGATTCAAAGAAAAACGGTTTCATTCCAACTTCCAGGGTCTAATCCAAAATCCCTTTGGGGTTATTCAGCACCAAATCAAAATGAGGCCATGAGAATCTGTTGAAGACCCTGTGGAATGGGTCCCTGCCCTGAAAATATGATTCAAAGAAAAACGGTTTCATTCCAACTTCCAGGGTCTAATCCAAAATTCCTTTGGGGTTATTCAGCACCAAATCGAAATGAGGCCAGGAGAATCTGTTGAAGACCCTGTGGAATGGGCCCTGCACTGAAAATACAATTGAAAAAACGTTCTTATTCCAACTTCCAGGGTCTAATCCAAAATCCCTTTGGGGTTCTTTAGCGTCAAATCAAAATGAGGCCATTAGAATCTGTTGAAGACCCTGTGGAATGGCACCCATTTGACAATCCATGGCAAGGTGCCAGATTCTCCATGAATTGAGGCCATGTCTGCCCATTGGCGCACATGCTCGCTCCACGCCTGAAAGAACACATAATCGATTCAAGTCATCACAACTCATCACCATAAATCACATTTGATTGTATTTCATCACAATTAAATACAATTAAATACAATTAATGTATATAAAGTATATTAATGTCACAATGTCATCCATGAGGTCTACAGTGGTATCCCTGCTAGCAAACAAAAGATGTGAGCAGTAAGGCTTGGAAAACACCTTTTCCATCCTTTTCCATCCTTTTCGTGCAGCCAGGGTACACAAAGACGCAAGACTTCCTGTGTGTTGCAATCCAGGACTTGTAAATGACACCTGATTCGGACAGCCACCTTCCAAAGTAGTCTGGGTATCTGAGCCGCTCTGCCACCGGCCGGGGTTTGCCACTTGGTTTCGGCTTCTTCGGAGGGTCGGCCGTGTCATCAGGAAGCACGATGTTCTGGTTGTCAGGCGACTTACCTTCAGCAAAAAAAAGATGAAAAATGGAAAGGGATCGTAGGGATCAAGTTCCAACATTCGGGCTGAATCATGATAAACGAAGAAATATGAAACGCATTGAAATGCATTGAAATGCGATAGAAAGGATCAATCAATCTTGAATAGAAGGGCTGCTACAGTTGTATACAGTTGTCACAACAGCTGAGATACCATCTGCTGGAAGCAACCGTTTCTTCCCAGCATGCTTGTCCGGAGTGAACGGAATGACCTGGTCTGTTTTCTTCTTGTCTGGGGTGGTCGGGTCCGGGTCGTCTCCACTTTCAGCGGACTTGAACTGCCGCAGGACTTGCCAAATTTTCAAGTACATGGGGTTCGAGGAGAGCTGGCACCACAGAACGCTCAAATCTTTGCGCAGCTTTGTAGCATCTGCCTGCGTCACCTCTTGCATTGGGATGTCCTGGATCATGGAAATGAGCATGTAGATTCCACAGTTGCCATCCCCCTTCACATGTCTGCACAGCAATTCATTCCGTTCAAACAAGGTTTTTTGCATTGCCAGGAAGTTCTCCAGTGCTCGCTGCTGGATCTCCACCTCTGAATCAATGGAAGCCAGCAAAATCGGATCTTTGCATCCCTGGCGTCGACGATCCAGGGCCTTCAGTGTTTCATTCCAGCTCACTCTAGCATCCTCACTCCATTCCTCCATAGCCACCTTGGCGTGACTCACCTGTTGTGCCTGCAAAGCAGGCACCCAATGGTTTAGGGATGTGACGCTTGAAGCTTCTGCGTAATCTGCTTGGCAAAGAACCGCTACAGCTGAATACTGCACATCCTCTGACGGCCCGCTATCAGGAGTGAAGTCAGGAACAGTTTCTTGAACCCATTTTACTGCATCGACCAGCTCCGCATGACCTTCAGGGCTGCAGTTGCTATTGAACAAGATTTCCATTAAAAGGGGTCCTCGTGGTGAAAGGACCTCTTTCAAAGGAAATCTTGTTATTGACACATCATTTCCTATTCAAAATGAATGGGAAATCTGGTGAAGACACTGTAACATGGAGCTTTGAAAATATGTTTCAAATTGTTCTAAGGAAAGCGATTTCATTCCAACTTCCAGGGTCTAATCGACAATCCCTCTGGGGTTCTTCAGGGCCAAAACAAAATGAGGTCATGAGAATCTGTCGAAGACCCTGCAGAATGGGCCCCTGCCCTAGAAATGAATATTCCAACTTCCAGGGTCTAATCCAAAATCCCTGTGGGGTTCTGTAGCACAAAATCAAAATAAGGTCACCAGAATCTGCCGAAGACCCTATGGAATGGGCCCCTTCCCTGAAATGCCCTGAAGTGAAAAAACTTACTTTTTTTCCAATTTGCAAGGTTGAATTCAATATCCTTCTTGGGGGTTCTTTAGCGCCAAAACAAAATAAGGTCATGAGAAATCTGTTGCAGATTCAGTGGCATCCCCTGCCTATTCCAACTTCCAGGGTCTAATCCAAAATCCCTCTGGGCTTCTTTAGCATCAAATCAAAATAAGGTCACGAGAACCTGCCGAAGACCCTATGGAATGGGCCCCTTCCCTGAAATGCCCTGAAATGAGAAAACTTACTTATTCCAATTTGCAATCTGCTAGGTTGAATTCAATGTCCTTCTTGGGGGTTCTTTAGAACCCAAACAAAATAAGGTCATGAGAAATCTGTTGCAGATTCAGTGAAATCCCCTGCCTATTCAAATTTCCAGGGTCTAATCCAAAATCCCTCCAGTGTTCTTTAGCACCAAAAGAAAATGAGGCCATAAGAATCTGTTGAAGACCTTGTGGAATGGGATAAGGCCTTGAAAGAAGGATAAAAGTTCGGTGTTGCCATTGGCTCAATAAATTTGAGTTACAACCATTCCCAGCCTGCCTTGTGCATAAGAAAAAAGCAGTAACCGAATCCCATGCAGTGAGCAGATCAAGAAAATGTCCACAAATTCAAGGTAGACTCCATTCTGCAGGACACGTTTGGCCCAGTGTTTCATCTCTTCCGAGGCATTCTGACCTGTCGAATTGATTCAAACAACGAATGTGGATTTAAATCCCCGTTCAGATTGGACCCGAGGGGTTGGGAGCCCCATTTTGTAGCTACAGAATGGCGTCCCCAAGGTGCCCTTCTTACAAGTTGGAAGAACCCAACGTTCATCGAGGAAGGTTTTTGTCACAAAATGGCAGTCCAAGCTGACCCCTAGTTACAAAATGGTACCCCGATTTTGCTCGACTCGCATCCGCTCGCATCCGTTGGCTCGATTTGCCCTTTACAGAATGGTGGGGACTGGGGGTAGCTCTACTCGCACTATCCCAGGATCCCTAGGCAGTAACCTGCAACAGCCTGGCCAACCCGAGTCGCGATTCATTTTTCCCGTTCTTTCGCGTTCATCAGTCTGTTTCGGCGTCATATTGATCTTTCAAATTTGGGCCTTAGCACTAACTTTGGAAGTCAAACTTCCAAGTTACAGATATTGAACATTCAAATTTGGGTTCACGCGCCGTTGGGGGTGTCTTCCATGGCCCAACTAGGCCTCAAAATGCCTCAAGTTGGTCCCATCAAAGCCTCAAGTTAGAAGGTTCCAGCCAGGTATATTAAATATACCTGCCAAAAACGACTCAACTGCAGCCTTCCATGGCCCAACTAGGCCTCAAAATGCCTCAAGTTGGTCCCATCAAAGCCTCAAGTTAGAAGGTTCCAGCCAGGTATATTAAATATACCTGCCAAAAACGACTCAACTGCAGCCTTCCATGGCCCAACTAGGCCTCAAAATTCCTCCTCACTTGAGGCTTTGAGAGAGCCAAGTCCGTGGAACCCCCCCGCGGCGCGCGAACCTTGGTGCTGGATAGGAATGCTGAGGAGATCTCAAGAGGCCCTTTTTAAACCGGAAGAATTGTATGCCGTGCCTGCCAGGCAATATTGATACTGCACCTTGCCACTGTTTTTTTTATTTAATCCCCTTTGTGGATTGGGATGGAAAGGGCAAGTCAAGCCTCATCAACAGGAACTGAAATAATGCTATGACTTGGGCAATCCATCCACTGGGGTTTCAACCCTAAAAAATAATGTTTCTGGATTTGATAGGGCAACTCACCCTTTAAAAAGAAGAAGTGAGTTGGGCAATCAATCCAGTAAATAGATATATGGGACACCTTCAGGGGTTATAAATTCATCCCCAAAACTGTGCCTATTACAAAAAGAAAAAAAAGGTAAGAGGCAGGGTATTCGTCTGCTTTTTGGGGTCTCTGCCACCGAGCGCTCCGTTAATACCCTGCTCTCCCCCTGTTTAAAAGGAATACCTATGTAAAAACTTAAAACTACCTATCTAAAAAACTAAAACACACTCCACAAACACCCCAATTCCCAGTTCCATGCCGCGGTTCTGACACCTGACATCCTGTAAGAGGATAGGATGGATAAATAGGGCAAGGATAAATGGGGCAAGGATATGGAAAAATGGAAACCCTGGGATAGTGATCCAACCCCTCGAATAATAACATGTCTTAACAATCCATGGGCACTGGTTAGAAAATACTTCCATCCAGATTGTAGGGTCTATAGTTGAGCATTCTCCATCTACACTTTGAATCCATCCAATTTGTAATGGTTATTGATTAGCCCTCCAGACTCCGACAGAATGGTCGGGACTGGAGGGTAACAAACTCGCACTTCCAATGCAAAATTCCGGTGCCAGGGGGGAGTCCACTTACAAGATGGCAGAACCCAGGGTCAAAATTTTGCACAAAATGGTAGCCAAAAACCGTTCTGTAACGGCCTTGGCGCGTCAGATTTAGTAACAAAAAATTCAACGGGGATGGATTTAAGATGATTTAAGTTGGTTCTACATGATTCTACCAACGCTTGTTGAAACAACATCAAACCAATCAAATTTAGAGCCCCGGCTGAACCCACATCCTGTCCATCAAAGTCCCGCCTGGATCTGCATCTTGATCTTGCCTGGCATCTCTCTCACCTCTGGACCTCTGGGGTGTTTCCGGGACCTGATCATCACGTAGGCGGACACTAGGGAGCTCGTGCGCAACGACCATCTGATCAAACCTGGATGCATGCTGATCCAGCTTGTCCCACTTCGTCGGTTTGGCTTTCTTTTCTGGTGTAGCCACACCTGCACACGCCCAGATGGCAGGACCATGGAAGGTCCAAAGGGAAAAACAGCTGGAAACTAATGATTTTCACTGAAATAAACTCAATGGAAACCTGTTCAGACCCTCAGGGGCTTCATGCTGTGCTATGATGCATTGTGCACATTTCAGCAGCAAGAATTTTTGGTGACACCGACAAACACATATACAAAAAACATCAGAAATCAATCATGATAAAAGCCAACTAAAGAAAATGAAAAAACAAAGTGCAATCTTTCCTCTCAAGCCATCCCACCCTAACATCATCGAACACGATGGCACCTTGCCCACTTCCAGATTTCGATGCTTCTGCTGCACCACCTGTGCCAGGGCCTGCAGGGCCAAGATTGGAATGTCTCCAGCAATTTCAAAGATTCACACCGTCTTTCCTAGGAAGCGACAACATCAGACCCTACAAATTTAGGGAGAACCATGGAAACATATCATATGTTGATGTTTCACAATGTTTCACAAAGATGTTTTGTATCTGTATCTATTTGATTCTATTTGTAGCTATTCTTGTTCCTTCTATGATGTCACCTTCACATGCCTTGTACCTTCTGCTTTCCTTGTATTCGCCCTGCGAGCTCTTGACAGAGGTGTGAAAAAATATGGCCCAAAGCTCCCACCTTCTGGCCCATTGGAACTTTTGCTCGATTCTGCCGTATCACCTGGCAACCGGTTTCGCGCACAGAGATGGCAGGGGCATGGAAGGTCCAAAGGGAAAAACAGCTGGAAACTAATGATTTTCACTGAAATAATCTCAATGGAAACCTGTTCAGACCCTCAGGGGGCTTCATGCTGTGCTATGATGCATTGTGCACATTTCACCGACAAACACATATACAAAAAACATCAGAAATCAATCATGATAAAAGCCAACTAAAGAAAATGAAAAAACAAAGTGCAATCTTTCCTCTCAAGCCATCCCACCCTAACATCATCGAACACGATGGCACCTTGCCCACTTCCAGATTTCGATGCTTCTGCTGCACCACCTGTGCCAGGGCCTGCAGGGCCAAGATTGGAATGTCTCCAGCAATTTCAAAGATTCACACCGTCTTTCCTAGGAAGCGACAACATCAGACCCTACAAATTTAGGGAGAACCATGGAAACATATCATATGTTGATGTTTCACAATGTTTCACATAGATGTTTTGTATTTGTATCTATTTGATTCTATTTGTAGCTATTCTTGTTCCTTCTATGATGTCACCTTCACATGCCTTGTACCTTCTGCTTTCCTTGTATTCGCCCTGCGAGCTCTTGACAGAGGTGTGAAAAAATATGGCCCAAAGCTCCCACCTTCTGGCCCATTGGAACTTTTGCTCGATTCTGCCGTATCACCTGGCAACCGGTTTCGCGCACAGAGATGGCAGGGGCATGGAAGGTCCAAAGGGAAAAAAAGCTGGAAACTAATGATTTTCACTGAAATAATCTCAATGGAAACCTGTTCAGACCCTCAGGGGCTTTATGCTGTGCTATGATGCATTGTGATGCATTGTGCACATTTCAGCAGCAAGAATTTTTGGTGACACCGACAAACGCATATACAAAAAACATCGGAAATCAATCACAATAAAAACAAACTACAATAGAAAATGAAAAAACAAAGTGCAATCTTTCCTCTCAAGCCATCCCACCCTAACATCATCGAACACGATGGCACCTTGCCCACTTCCAGATTTCGATGCTCCTGCTGAACCACCTGTGCCAGGGCCTGCAGGGCCAAGATTGGAATGTCTCCAGCAGTTTCAAAGATTCACACCGTCTTTCCTAGGAAGCG